GTCACTCTTCTCCCTGAAGCATTATCTTGGGAAGAAAGCAGCACAGAACTTCTGAAGCCTACTGTGAAGAAAACATCCCAGCTAGAAGAAAAGACAATGCAAAAGGATGCATAGCCAAGACATGGAGACAAACAAATTCACATCTTTTAGCCTCAGGATCCAAATTGAAGCTTAGTTATAGCCAAGGATGTTTTAGGAGTAAAGAAACACTTCGAAAGAAAAAAGTACTCAAAAGTACCAAAAAGTACTCAATATCAGGAAAATGCATATTTCAACAACAAGAAACAAACAAAAAAAATCATACCACCACACACTCTGCTGAAGAGCTAAAGTTAGAAAGTGTGGGCACAGGATGCGGAATAGCCAACACTCACATGCACTGTTGGGGACTTACTGGTGGAACCAACATTTTTGAAAATCTAAAGTATCTACCAAAACTACACTGAAGTCTACCCTATCATTCAGTAATTGCATTCCCCACATATAGCATATACCAAGAGAAATAAGAGCAAACAACTGACAAACCAGACATTATGTTGAGTAAAAGAAGCCAAACATGTCACAGTCATGTTGTAGTTTTAACATTTATTTGAAAAGTGAGAAAAAGCACACCAAATCAAGCGTAATAGAGTCAAAATCCAATTTCGTCTGTGGAGAGATTATTGAGAAAGACATGAATGAACTTCCTGGAATCCTGGAAATGTGTCCACCAGGATGTATACATCTATGTGGAATTACATCAAGCTGTACACAGCTTGCACATTAGTGTATGTATACCTTGATAAACAGTAAAAAGTGATTAAGGGAAATGCTATAGTTATGCTTTTAAGAGATAAAAGTATAATTTTTTTAAAAAATAGGTGATAATAGACCTTCATTTTATTCATTTGTTTATATGCCATGCTGAGAATCGAACACAGTTCCTCATACATACTAGGCAAATGCTCTACCACTGAGCCACAACACTACCCCTTAAAATATGTTTTAAAAAAAAGGAAGAGGTAGCAAAATGTACCTGAAACAGCTCATAGCATTCCTCTTCTCACATAAAGGCAGTAAAATCTTCCCTGTCTGAAGATATCAAATATAAATCCTCCTCTACCAAAATAGAATGACACCTATCCGAGGCTTGCCTCAATTACCAACAGGATAACTTCATTAGCCACAGCTCTACTCACTTTTGGGACCACGGTAGGCTTGTATAGACATCAATCCCATAAGCAGAGTGAAGGATGAGACTGGACTGTGAGCTTGATGACAATCCTTCTGCAAACTGGTCTACTATAACAGGGCAGTGAAAGTGCCAGAGGAAGTGCAATGAGAAGCAAAAATCCCAAAATGGCAACACCAGAGCTTGCCAGAGAAATCTAAGTTGTGTTTGGCCAGGATATAGGAATTAATGGAGATGTTTGTGGAGGTGCAGCCCCTGAGGAGACTGAGGTCAAGCACCTAACATTCAGTTTTGAGCAAGTATGGATCAGCGCGTTAAATACTCAGAAAAATGAGCTGAAAACTGGGGCCCACAAGGTCCCTACTCATCTGTCTACCTATATCGTGGTCCTAATAAGCAGGCAATTGTAGCTCCTCCCTAAAGCCTTTCAAACTTCTTGCAAAGTTATTTTAGAAAACTATCACCTAGGATTAGAAGTGATTAAGGGAAATGTAGTCCTCAGCTATATCCAAATTAACATAACACACTTTACTAACTTAAAACATTAGATCAAAATTCCAGCCATGAGGGCTGGGGTTGTGGCTCAGTGAGTGCTTACCTAGCGTGTATGAGGCACTGGGTTCGATTCTCAGCACCACATATAAATAAATAAGATAAAGATCCATCAACAACTTAAAAAATTTTAAATTAAAAAAGATTCCAGTCATGAACAAACATAAAGAATAAAACACAAAACAGCAATCAGATAAGACTATACTCTTTCAAGGCCTTTGTACTAAATAATTTCTACTAAAAATTTTTTTACACATGAATGGCTTTTGCTATTCTCAAAAACAGTTTGTACTCTTACTTTAAAGGGAAAGGGGGAATTATTGGGTAGGCAACTTTCAATATCTAGACGAAGAAAAAGATGAAGGCGAAGAAGAAGAATAAGAAGAAGAAGAAGGAGGAGGAGGAGGAGGAGGTGCCCATGCTGTGAGTTAAAACATAAACAACAATTAAAAAAATAAAAAAAAAGAATTTTCCTGCCTGCCAAAAAAAAAAAAAAAAAGAATGCACTTGAGCCAGACTCAATGATATTTGCCTGCACTCCCAAACTTAGGAGGCTAAGGCAGTTGTCCAGGAGTTAAAAGCCTGGACAACATAGCCAGAAGCTGTCTCATGGAGAAGCATACACACACGTACACACACAATCTCCCAAGAGTTCAAAAGACTTTGTAATGGAAATAACTGTTACATCTCAGCTAAAGAAACTAACCTCATACTCAAAAGTATGTCATAAAAGCTGAAAAGGAAAACATATAGCCTTAAATCTTCCTATTAGAAAACATTGGAAATCAATGACAATCTAGAAGTCCACTTTAATGAGGCACTGATCTTCTTTTCTAGCTCAAATTTTGAATTTTCTCATACAAGTGTTGAGAGCAACAGCCAAGTCTAGATCACGCCTGACACTTAGCCAGGAGGAGTGGTTTAAAAAGTAACACCAGCGAGCTATTAAGAGGATGAGGATTCCTTAATGACTGACTGCTGAATCTAGATGATGTTAATTGAGTTAAGCTGTGTCTAATTATTAAGATGGTGAGGATTCCTTAATGACTGCTTGATGTAACTGGATGATGTTAATTGAGATAAGCTGTCTGTATTTAGTTGGGTATATATACCTCTGCTGGTGTGAATACAGCGGCTCCCGCTGTTTCAACTTTCACAAGTTGCTTGTCGCCCCAGCTTCTTTGCACAGCCCAGCCAGACTGCGGCACAAGTTATGTTCAAAATCAAAAGGTTTTACCATATAGCTTACAAACACAGAGTTTCTGTCAGTTGTCCTCAACTATTCAAAAGAATAAGTGATAATCTCCTACTTTCTCACATTTATACTGCCTCCACAGTATGAGACTTCACAAATTCCATTAGTTCAGAAAAAGTCTTGCAGAGATACCCTTACTCCTTACATTTATATGTTGTCCCTTGTGTGAACGTTCAAATGACTTCGAAAGTAGGCTGGACAAACAAAGGCTTTCCCACATTCTGTACATTAATATGGTTTTTCTCCAGTATGGCTTCTCACATGTATCCCAAAGGATGAGGAAGAACTGAAAGCTCTTCCACACTCAAGACATTCAAAGGGTTTTTCTCCAGTGTGCATTCTTGAATGTATAGTAAGGGATGAATAATGTCGAAATGCCTTCCCACATTCCTTACATTCATAGGGTTTTTCCTCAGTGTGGATTCTCATGTGGCTACTAAGACCTGAAAAACAAATAAAGGCTTTCCCACATTTTTTACATTCATAAGGTTTCTCTCCAGTGTGAGTTCTTCTATGTACTCTAAGATAGGAAGAACAAATGAAGGCTTTCCCACATTGCTTACATTCATATGGTTTCTCTCCAGTATGGCTTCTCACATGTATCCCAAAGGATGAGGCAGAACTGAAAGCTCTTTCACATTCCAGACATTCAAAGGGTTTTTCTCCAGTGTGCATTCTTCCATGTATAGTAAGGGATGAAGAATGTCGAAATGCCTTCCCACATTCCTTACATTCATAGGGTTTTTCCTCAGTGTGGATTCTCATGTGGATACTAAGAGCTGAGAAACAAATAAAGGCTTTCCCACATTTTTTACATTCATAAGGTTTCTCTCCAGTGTGAGTTCTTCTATGCACTGTAAGATAGGAAGAACTAATGAAGGCTTT